GAATATTATTTAGTTTTTAGTTGGTGATAATTTTTTTTTCATTTTAGCAAGCATTTAAGCTTTTTGAGGATGGAGATTGTCTTTTGTTGCTTAGTGTATAACATCCTGTGATCTTGTAAGGAGTCAGGGAACAGTCCCTACCCTGATTATACTCAGAACTGGTCATTCTCATAACAACTTATTGGACCAGGGGTGGACACCTAACTTGAGCTGGGCACATTTATTTTTCCTAGAATGAGATTGGAAGTGGGAGTCAGGTTTTTAGGGAACACACAGATCACCTGAATTTAGAGAACTTGAAACACAAAAAACTCAGTTGCTGGGGTGCAGCCTAGTTAAGGTGCATACGTGTGGAAGCAGTGAAGACCAGTATGCACGGTCGGAGAATTAAGTAGATTTATCCAGAAAAATTGGAGAAGTAAAGCTCTGTCGAGAGAGGCAGCCATTCACATGAAGAATAGAAGCCTGAGTGCCTAAAGACTTTCCAGGTCCACACCTGGAAAGGGTCCACTTGCCTTTAGGGTCCTTGGAAAATACTCAACTCCACTATGGTTACAATTCCATTTTTTGCTTGAGTTAACTTGAAGGAGGTTTTTCTCATTTACTACCAAAAGAACACTGAATGTGACACTTAAATTCATTTGAATTTTAGGATAGTCAGTCTCGCATCTTGGCTCTTTGGAAAATTTCCCCTACTCTCAAGCATCCTCCCTACTTCCAGGCTTAGGCTGGTTAGAGTCTTGTCAAGAACCTCTTAACTGTCTTGATCTTTAGATGTTCACCTGTGTTGTTACTTTTGCTGTATAATGTGTTCATGCTGGTGCTTTGCTAGATCAAGACTGAGTTTTTTGTTTGTTTGTTTGTTAAACAGGCTTTTAATGATTGTTTATAACTGACTCTTTTAGGCATATTAATCTGATAGTAATAAAATAATAATGTTATTTCAGACAAGAAACAGAGCCATCATTTAAAAAGACTGTATGAGGCATGTGGTTTAGGGTTTTTTTTTTTTTTTCTTTTCATTTTTAGTTCACTAATACATTTGTTTTAATTCTTTGATTGTTTCTACTTAAAATAAGTTGATGGACTTTAGTGGAACACAATAATGTGGGTTGAACTGCAGTTGAGACTTCAAACAAAGGGTAATGGTGAGTGGCTATGTGCCCAGTTGATGGATTCTGTCTGGTCTCGGCTCAGTCACTTACTTCATGAATGATCTGTAATAGGAGCATCACAGTGGTGTTTTTCTCTTTGAAAAATGTTAATGAGGAAGAGAGGGAAACTCTGGGAAAATGGCTAAATGCTTCTAATTTTGATTTTTTTTCTTCCTTTGATCATTTGATTTCTCTCAGCTGAAAGATTTTATTCCAGAGAAAAGTAAAATTTCTCTAGTATTAAAGAGACAATAGCTAGCGTTGAGGTGTGGATTTGTATAAAATAGAGAAATGGAAGAAAGGAATTTGCCAGGTAGAATAAGCTGGAAGACATTATTTGACATTAAAGGCAAATTATTTTGAGTATGTACCTAAACAGTGTTATGCTTTTTTTAAAAAAAGATTTATCCATATAAGAGCTGGGGTACAGGCCAGAGGTGTGTGTTGGGGGGTGAGAGGATTCACCAGAGACAGAGTGGGGAACAGAACAAGCAGACTGACCAAAGTACACTGCTGATGGGAGCAGCGGGCAAGACAGGAGAGGTCTGCCTTGCCATGTGGGTTGCTCCTGGGCCGGCCCAGGATCGAACTCATGCTGCAGAGGCTGCGGATTGCTTCATAGTGCAGTACTTATTAACACCTTGTGCCACCAGGGAGGCCCTGCCTCCTCCTTTTTTTTTTAAGCGTAGGCTCCTTTTTTTTTTTTTTTTTTTTTAAGATTTATTTATACGTACAAGAACTGGGGTGCAGGAGGTGAGAGGAGTCACCAAAGAGTGGGGAGCAGAAGAGATGGATATACTGAAATACACTGCTGAGGGGAGCAGCTGGCGAGACAGGAGAGGTCTGCTACCCCATGTGGGTTAACTCCTTGGCAGGGGATCCAACTGGAACTCATGGTACAATGACTGGCAATAGCTTTTTTTTTTTTTTTTTTTTAAGCTTTATTTAATTATAAAAGAACTGGGGTACAGGTCAGAGGCATGGGAGGGTGAGAGAATTTACCAGAGACAGAGCAGGGAGTAGAACAGGCATACGGACTGAAGGCACTGCTGAGGGGAGCAGCGGGTGAGGCAGGAGAGGTATGCCATGCCATGTGGGTTTCTCCCTGGCCTTCTGGGAATCAAACCGCTGTGTCACTGGGGAGGCCCCTACTGGCAATGGCTTTATCGTGCTGAGACTTTAACCCCTGCACCACCAGAGAGGTCCCCAAATGGCACTTTACTCCTAGATTTTGAGACAGTTCAGCTTTGAGGTGAGGTATAGGATAGGAAGAACACTTTTAAAGTTGAAATTCTGTGAATTTCTTGTTGGTTTAAATCATTGTCTTTGGAAGATAGAGTACTTTAATGCTCCAAGGAGTTTTCTGGAAGAGAATATATAAACAGCTTTCCATTGAACAGTATTAGGTTGGTTAAGATTTGTACTATGAAAAACCTTTGTGTGGCTCTGTGATCTTAGACCTCATATTGTACATTGCCTGAACAAAATTGAAAAGCTCCTAGACAGTCTTGGTTCTGGCTCTCTTTTCTGTAGCTCCAGAGAATGAGAAAAGGAGAACCTGATACTCTTGGCAGTGTATGCTTTCTTGCCTTTCTGGGCCAAGATATGCATTTAAAAATAAAATCAAAGAAATTGTAAACCAGTAGTAAAAATGAATAAAGCACCCAGGAGTTTGCCTCTTATGCATGTGACTTGTGTGTCCTTTTGTGTCCTAGGCTGTCTAATATTAAACTAATGTGACAAAACTGTCCCCTGTCATTTACACTTCTCCTTTCGGGGTTATGGGGAAAAGTCATGAAAAGATGCAACATTTATTATTTATCTACTGTTTTTTTATCATGCTGTTTATATTTAATGGCCTCTGAATACATTTATGAATATAATTTTTTTAACTACAGAAATTTTTTTTTTTTTTGGTAAAGATTTTTACTTATTTATTTATACAAGCACTGGGTACAGTCAGAAGCACGGGAGGGTGAGAGAATTCACCAGAGCCAGAGCGGGGAGCAGAGCAGGCAGAAGGACCGAAGTACACTGCTGAGGGGAGCAGCGGGCGGCAGGAGAGGTCTGCGCGCCATGTGGGACCCTCCTCCGGTGGCCGGGGAGCAGCCCGGGATCGTACCAGCGCTGCTGAAGCTGCGGGGAACTTCGCAACTGCGCTCAACCACTGTGCCACCGGGGAGGCCCATGGGATTGGGAAACTTTTTAAAGAACTTTTGGACCTGCTATAAGAAAGCTTAGACGAGTAAACATAAACAGAACATGCTGTAATATTTCTATGGAATATTTTGATGTCTATTGCTTACTTTTTTAAAAAAAGATTTATTTATGCATACAAGAACTGGGATATAGGCCAGAGATTGGGGGGGGGGTGAGAGGATTCACCAGAGACAGAGTGGGGAACAGAACAGGCAGATTGACCAAAGTGCACTACTGAGGGGAGCAGTGGGTGAGTCAGGAGAGGTCTGTTGCGCTATGTGGGTAGCTCCCTGGCCAGGGATCGAACTCGTGCTGCAGTGGCTGCCGATTGCTGGATTGCTTCAGAGGTTGCATCTTAACCCCTTACGCCACCAGGGAGGCCCCTATTGCTTACTTTTAGCTGACAGTATATAACCTGTCTCCTAGATCCACTCTCCCGCTTGCCTCCCTCCCCCGACCCTTTTTAGGCTTGTGAATTTGCAATTTCTGTATTACTTCTATAAAAATAGTCACAAATTTGCTTTCAACACATTTTATCTTTGTGGCATATATATTTAGACTTTTCAATAACTTAAGATCAAGGGAAGAGTTTTGAGCACAAAAGACACTTCTTGAGCTGTGTTCCAGGTACTTCGTACTTCTCAAATTATTGGTTATCAGGCTTAGGATGACTGAAATTCTAGATTACTATGAAATCTGGTGCTACTTCTGTTATTGTTCATTTTGCTGGTGTAACTGCTCTGGGTTAAGTAAGACCTAGAGAAAGACTTCTGTTCCAGAAAGCTTACAATTTAGGAAAATGTTTTCTTTTTAATTATGACTACTCCACTTCTTTGAACAAGCCAGCTCCACAGATCAACTTGTAAGTGATCTGTTTTTTTAAGGTACCTTTTAACAGAATGCGTCTCTAAGGACCTGAGAGGCAGTTCATCTCCCTGAATTATAATACCCTTTGTCTGCACAGCAATTTTGGAGGCCGATTTACAGATTAAACTTAACATTTCTCTGTTCTGGTCATGTCAGAGAACACATTTATCTTGATTTATCTTATAATCATTTTTATTATAACATTTTGTGTCTGATAGATTTCTGAACTAATGTGAGGAAGTGGAAATTTTTTAGTAGAAACTTGCTTTGGAGAACTTTGAAGTCTTGATGGAAAAATATTAAAGAATATAATTTATGTAATATAGCGAACCGGAAAGAAATGGCAGCATACGTAGATCACTGAAGCTTTGTTGAGTTTGTATTTAGTTGTTTTTATGAATAAGGAAAAACATTAAGACTTGGATGTATTTGTGAATTCTGTACTCTTTGGTAATATTTCTTGAAGGCAGCTTGCTGGTAAAAAATTAGATCAGGTTCTCTGAGTTGCCAGATCCAGAACATCAAAAAATGCTTTAACTGAAAGAAAGGGAAAAAAGCCTGCTGGATCCACCCCCAGAAATCCTAGTGGGTCCCCATGGTAACAACCTTCTTGCTTACAACTTGTCACTGTGTAACTGTCACTGGGGTTCAAAGAAAAGCCAGTATATCAAGAACTGTGTGGCGTTAACTACTCCTTGATGAAATGCTGTTGCACATTTGCAACAAACTAGAAATAGAAAGTTAAAGGTTTTAATTTCTGTGTTCCATTAATTAGATGCTTAAAAAAGCTGCCTAATTATGGTAAGGTGCAGCAGTGGGAAGGTGGTGGGTGGCCAAGGCAGGCATAGGAGAAAGCCATAGGCTCAGAATATTAGAGTCTTCAGAGATTTTTCTTCTTTATCCCTTTTCCTGTTGCAAATGAGATGATCACGAAATGCCTTACTTAGGCTCACATAGAAGCAGAAGCAGCATTCCAGTTCAGGCCCTCTAAATTTCTAGCACATTGTTCTGCTGTTGCATTTACCATGACTCTACTTTTCATTGTGAAGTCTGAGGTAAGGAAAAGACCTTAGAGCTCATGTCATGTACGGCAGTTGTTTAACTGCTGCGGAATCCCTTTTACACTGTATTGGGCAGGTGGTGTCTCTGTCTCTTCCCTAAGGTTAGGTTACTTGTCCAGTTAGCAAAAACTTCACCGCTTGAGTTCAAAGAGGAGATAAATGTTTCTTATTTTAAAGCTATATGTTTTTTCTGCCCATATAAAATAGCAATTGAAAATTAGGCCCAAATGTATTTTAATTAGCCTGTTTATCTCCACTAAAGTCATGCTTGTCAGTCATGACAAGACAGATACTTCTTCAAAAGAATTATGTCATGCCTAAGCTCTAGAACTTTGAAAAGATAATGCCATATTTGGAACAAGCTAGTCCTTTAACAGGTGGGAGGGAAGAGATGATAAATGCTATATTCAGCTTCAAGTAATGTGCCTAATGAGATGAGATGATTGTGAACTAACGAGTATCAGAAGAGGTCTCAAAATATTTCAGAAGCAAAATTGAAAGCCAAATGGAGGAAGTTTTATTTTTTAGTGATGTGGTTGTGTTTGTCATTGTTCTAAAGTATGTTCAAAGGTGAGTTTTGGGTTATTAGTTACATACACCAAAAAGGATTTTTTTTTGGCCCATTTTTTGGGTATGATGTTGTTCAGGATGTTGTCATTCAATGCCTTTGTCTTTAAGTGCTTCCGCTTTTATTTCACTATTTTGTCTTTCAGAACTGCTTGAAAGAAGTAGGAACATTTAAGATTATTAACTAGTGAACCGGAAAGAGAATCTTTTATATCTTTTAAGCAAGACATGAATGAGTATTTTCTAATATGTAGAGAAATGTTTTCTGTTTGTTATAACATATTTTTTTTCCTCGAAGAATTTACCATACCTAAAAATGGAGAATTTGGCTCCAATATTAATTTTTCTTTTTGTCTTACCAGAAAATTAAAGTGAAAATGCTGTTGGCAGTCTTTTGCTGTCTTGACTTCAACACAGTAGAGAATGCTATAATGAAAATGTGGCTGAGTTTTTAATGTTCTGGAATTTCATGACCACCAGCACTTCTTGTTGTGCAGCCAAGGTAATTAAGGTAATCAAATGTTTTAGACATTAGTAAGTGTGACCTGGCTCTGAAAGAAATCTCTAATCCTAGCTTCATCCCAGTGCCTATTTCCCTCATTTATTCTAAAACTTAGACTTCACATTGATAGGGGAAGGGGGTAAAGAGAGACAGACAGAGGGTAGGAGGGTGGGGGAGGATAAGAAGAGAGCTACAAGTGCATCCTAACTGTGTAGACAGGAAACATGAAGCTAGGAATCTCAATGAGGATAGGAATTTATTTGGGGCATCCAGTCCATCACTGTAATGTTCTGCCATTATTCTGTACTTTGTGCTTATTGAGGCCCAGTCTCATAATCTTAGTGAAATAATTTTTGTGGAACCTGTTTTTTTCATGTGGTAGTTACTCTTTTTAACTGTTAATCAGTAATGTAAATTTAGTGTTTCATTCTTATCTTTGAGAAAGTTAGGAAAATAGGCACATCTGTTAAATTGCCCTGATAAGATATTTTGTACTTACCTAAACTGTTTAACTGTTCTCTTGTTGAAAAGTAGGAATAATTTAACCCTAACAGAAGTGGCATGGAAATGTGATTTTAAGGTAGGTAGCAGTCATAGCGTCTTTAAGTCCTTGTAAAGAAATGCATGGAGTCCCTCTGGACAGACAAGTGGAGGTATTCCTCCCATGGTCATTTAGCAGATGAGGAAGCTGGACGATGCATCTTTATTTGTAAAATCAGTGAGACATAATGTGTCATGAAAGGCTGGCTCTGACCCTACCCCTAAAAAATATGGTATCAGCTCCCATACTGCACAATTATTTTTATATTGCTTCTTCGTTCTAAACAACCAATTGCCATGAGCGCCTAGAAAAGAAAGAAAACACTAACCTTTCCAGGCCCCATTGTAGTCACCATCACATTTACGGAACAGCTTCGTTTGGTCCATGCCCTCTTTTGATTGAGCCACACTAAAGAATGTCCCAAATGTTTTCTCAATATATGTCCCCATTAGCAGTCGTGCCTTTAAAGCCTCATTTACTAGTTGATTCACAGTGGGGGAGGACCATGTTCAGGAACTTTCTAATAGCCTGCATTTGCTTGTCTTTCCTCTCTTGGCTTCTATTTATGTTCTTAGTACCTCTTCCTTGAGCTTGCACCTTCTGCATAACTGACTATTATATCATCTTTGGGGCTGCAAAATAAAAGTTGGAAGATTTTAAAGTTAAAGTTCCCAGAATAATGTTGTCGCCCACGTTGCACATATGTCACATCTTGAGTTTACTAGTTAAGTCTCTAAATATGTGCTTTATATACAGTATATGCAGTGTGATGAGTTCAGTTGCCATGAGAAACTAAAATTTTTAGGTTTAAATAGTTCAATGATGGACACTTTTTCTTTCATTGTCTTAGAGGAAAGTTAATTTTTTTCTCTTATCTAATATATATATGTATTTTAAACAAATTAAGGTATTAGACAGTGGCCATTCTCACATATCACATCTTGCTAAAAGAATGACTCACTTCTTTGTTGCCATGTTATCAGTCTCCTTCATTGCAGTTTTCTGTGCACTAGAGTTTTCCCTCTGTACCTTCTTCTGTTACTTTGTTTGCTCTAGGATAGCATTAGAACCAGGAAACTATAAGCTTTACTTTATAAAAAAAAAAAAAGTGCACCTGGTAAGAGAGGTACTCTATTGGGACAGCCCTAAGCGTGTAAGGACTTCTATTCTTATGTAAATCCTTTAAGATGAACTGTAATGGTGAAATATGCTTGAAAACTTTTAAATAAGCATTCTGATGTTACCTTGTCATATAAAAACAATTCAGGGTCTGCTTGAATTGGAATGAATACATTACTTAGAATAACTTCTTGGCCGTTGGTGACTTGCTTGTTGTGGTTGACTGGGTATAGTCATGAAGATTTCCTTCTTTTTAGAACAAGAAACACAAGAATAGATGACAGGATGTTAAAGATGAAACAAATTGTATAGTATTTCATCTTGGGTTCTTAAAACTTATTTTGTATCATGGACCATCTTTAAAAATCTGGCCAAAAAAATCACAGATCTACTTCCCTATAGATATAATTAAATACATAAAATATATTTATGCATGTATGCTTGGTTTTATATATAACATAACGGATTTTATAGATACATGAAATGTCCATGAGTTCTGTGTGTTCGTTGACTCCGGTACCTTTTTTCACTTAAGGAAGCAGGTCCAGAGAGAAGTCTTCTGCAAAAGGCCATTCTCACAGGTGTTTGTTATTTATTTTTCTTATAGGTGCTCATAGCCATTTTGATTTTTGAGTTTTAATCACTCTTGGTATATATAATTGTGGTCTTTTGCATTGTGTCCTTTTCTTTTACTTAGTTGCGTTCATGTAAGTAATCTTAGTAAAGTATGTAACAGGTAGTTAAAACTGTGATCTTACCCAGAGAGTATTCTATTAATAATAATAAGTCGGTTTTTTTTGAAACCAAAGTTGCTCTAACAGGGCTCAGAAAAGTTAAATCTAAAAACCTCTCTTTACAGTCAGGTTTTTATATTTATTTTTAAGATTTATTTATTTATGCATACAAGAACTGGGGTACAGGCCAGAGGTGCAGGGGGTGAGAGGATTCACCAGAGACAGAATGGGGAACAGAACAGGCAGATTGACCGAAGTGCACTGCTGAGGGGAATAGCGGGCGAGTCAGGAGAGGTCAGCTGCGCCATGCGGGTTGCTCCCTGGCCAGGGATTGAACTCCTGCCACAGTGGCTGCAGATAGCCTCGTAGGTTGTGTCTTAACCTCTTGCGCCACCATGGAGGCCCCAGTCAGGAGGTTTTTAATGAAATGTTTAACGCTTGCACACTTCTGTATTTTATGGGACATGGAAGTGCCTCTGTTGGAATTCTGTGTTCTTTTTCAGTATTATCAAACAGAGTGTCGACAAGGCTCTGCCTTGTACTAGACGATCTAGGTAGTGGCACTGAGAGAGCAAGTTTACCATCACTTAGTATCCTTTGCTTACCGTTACTTCATTATCTACAAGTAGCAAAGAGGAAATTTCAAATAGTTAATTTGCTGATAAAAATATATTAAAGTAAGTAATAATAGTGGACCAATTATATCTTAGAATTTGAAGGCTTTTTGTTTTTTTAAGTTTTGGGGAAAACATGTTTCTGGGGGACTAATTATTACATTTGTATATTCATGCCCCATTAGCTTGGGACTGTGTACACACACTAACTTTTCAGAGCTGGAAAATGCTGGGCAGTGCTCCTGTTCCCTGGAGCTCCCCTTCGTAATTGAAGACAGCAGAACTGAGAAAACCTCAGCATCAACTTTTCTAGTCTCTACTTTGTTTCCTCCTGTGCCAGATGTATTTTTTTTGTTTGTTTTAATGTATCAAATTCCCTCAGAGGACTAGGCAGAAGTTTCTGAAGTGGAAGAATATTTTTCAGAAAGTATTATCTGAGAAATGTTAAGAATGGATGCTGAGTGAGCCTGGTAGGTGGGACTTAAGGAAGATAGAGGTCTCTCTAGTCTCTGTGTCTGTCTCTGCTAAATGTAGTTTAGCACTGGCCATATGCTCCTATCAGCCTTATTATTTCATGTGTTAATTTTATCCAGAAAATACTAAAAATTAAGTATTGGAGGCCAGTGATAGTGAGACTTAACATTTGTGCTGTCAGTACATCCACTACAGTACTGAGTACGCATAAAGACAGTAACCAGTAAATACTCAGTTGTATTTGTTGAGCGCTGCAGAATCATTTGAGTCTGTCAACAGTATTTCTTATCTTTGGAGAGTTTACTCTGGTTACTAGTAAAGTTTTTCATATACAATGAGTTGAAGCTGAGTGAATTGTTCCAAGTAAAGTAATTTTTGCATCATAAATATTTGGCTCCTATCATATAAGCTAGCCTCCTGGGAAATAAATTTTTTAAGTTACATGAAAATTTATTTTAACTTGTACCGGCCAGAAAAAACAAAGAGTGACCCTAAAACATAGCCTGAGAGTTGGAATGAGACCTTCATTCTGAAAACAGCAAAGGGTCAGTAAAGGTTAGGCTCATTGACACAATTGGGGAATAATCTTTTTTGCAAGTTAAATTTTAGAATTTAAATCACACCGCTTGCTTTTGCTCTGGTAAGAATCTGACCTAGTAGAATTTTTACAGTGTCGTCTCTGTTTTCCCTAGCTGAGGGATTCTTGGTACAAGTGACTGAAATTATTGGGAAGTTCCTTGACTGAAATAGAATCTCTCAAACCTTTCTTCAAGTATCAGCCCGTGTTTCTGTCTCTGTTTTTTTTTTTTTGTTGTTGGGCCGTGTGAACAGAATGCATGTGTATGAGATAATTGGACTTCCATTAATGGCCCCCTTTCAGCAACCATGTATGGGTAAAGCTGTTCAGGTTCCTGCTCCTCCCTCTCTGAGCACGGAGCAGAATCTGTTCTGCTGAAGCTGCTGTTCCACTTTTCAGCTTTCTATATTTGTACAGCACCAGCAGGAGCAGCCCACTAACTGGTCGGTGTGGCTGCCCTGTGCACCCATACTGGCTCAGGCCTGCATAGGGCTCAGCCAGAGCACAGTTTTGTGTACTTACGTGCGTCCATCTGTCTGTGTACGTTTCTGTGGAGAACTGAGGTTTCCTAGTGAAAAAGGTGACCTGTCTCTATTGTTTTGTTCTGTCAATTACAAACTGTAGAGAATGTTTCAAAATCTTGGGGATGGGGTGAAGAGGCAAGATATATATTTTTTAACATAATATATTTGAGGGAGAGGATGCCAGACTGTTAAGTCTAGTGTCAGAAATTGTATCTGGGTTCTCTTAGAAATTATCTTGTTAAAGTTGGAGTGTTTTTCCCTTTGTTTTTTTACAGGTCACAAAGATCAGCTCTTATGGGTGAACATGAATTCCTTTCCTGGCACACAAGTTTCCTGATGTAAGAGTCAAGTAGAAAAGAATGAGATACTTTTACCCCCTTAAGAAATGACGCAGTATACATCTTTTTTGGAAAAGGGGGCAGTAGG